GTAATGAGTTCAGTGAATTCATCTGCAAATTGTTCAGCAGCTTCAGTATCAGCTGAAGCTTTTAATTGTCTTATACCATGGCGATTTTTAAATTTGGTTAACCAACCTGACGAATATGTGCACTCAGTGTTTAAGTTCATTTCTTCATGAAATATTTTGGCTTGAACCATTAGCATTGGACACAACAATGGCACTTCCTCGCTGCGATGCTGTCTGACCCACTCAATCATCACTTTTAGCATAACGAACACTTTTTCTGTTATTCATTGCGAGTGGGGTGTTAGAATCCAGAAAAATTCAAAAGGTTCCTTTTTCTTTTTGCTTATGTGATATACAGTTGACTTTCCAATGCCGTACTCCTCGCATAATTTTGAGACGGATATGCCATTATCCATTTTTTGCAGCAATTCCACTTTTTGTTTGATGGGCATCGAAACATGCTTTCGCTTTGTAGATCCTTTGGCAGCTCCAGAATTGGAAACTCTTTTTGACATAATCAAAATTTCAAGCTTAATTTTTATAAAATTGCTCTAACAGTCTGCAAAAAATTTATAAGCCGGATCCAATTAAAAGATTAAGGAACAGAGCAATCTGCAGCATTAACTGAAATGTCTTAGAATCAGAAAAGATAATTTTAGCCTAGCTTATGCCATCTGTTATACATTAAATGCGCATGTGCAAAGCATAAAAAAAAGTTTGTGGCTTTGAGGTCCAGATTATAGATCATTCTGGATAATGGACGTCCGGATTACAGACTTTGTACTGTATTTGGTTGAATAATTTTGATGTGTTATTGTTATTTTGATTAATATCTTTACTATATTTGTTAAAAAATCTCAAATCACTAAATGCCTATCATTTACCAAATTTAGCATAGCACAATGAAAGAATTCATATTCCAAAAAGAGAGGAAACACTTGTAAAGTAATAATTACTATTATTGTAAATAAATTTAAATAATAACCTGAATGTTTGCCAAAAATATGCAATTAAAATACAGACCTGGCGACAAACCACTAAACTGGCACAATATTTGTACCTCTACCCCCCAAAAAAATCCTAAAAATTACAGAAAATTTTCTCAAAACTGGCAGATATGAAAAAATAAAAAATAAAGCTTTAAAATGTGCAAAAATTAATTCTGAAACAGCTATATTCGCTTAGATACTTTTCTTGCTATCAACCAAGAGAAGGCTTATAAACTCACAAATTTTAAGTAGTCCTACTCAGCAGAGTAGCCTTACTCTCAACTCGATCCCACCTTCATCAATGTGGTCACTACCTCAACTAGCATCATCATATTAATTGGGCAGACTTTGAGGAAAAGAGCATGCATTGCTGCACACACAAAGAACCCCCCCCCAAAAAAAATGTGGCAAAAATTTATCCTATGGAGAAGGAATTAACAGAATTATTGACCTTTTTTTTTTTTTTTTTTTTAATGTGTAATTTACTTGGCTAAAACACTATGAATATAAATTTAAGAAAATGGTACTCTTCTGTTATTAGGAGCAGAATCAGAAATTTATGTATGTGTGCATATCTGAATATTGAATTATCTAGATCTGTGTACATTTCTGAATCTGTTTCCGATAAAGAAGGGTACCATGAAACCATTCCCTGAAAAATATTTTCAAGGGTGCAGAAGAAAAGACTAACTATCTTACAGATAAAAGTCAGCTTAGTAAATATATAAATAAATTTGAAAAATTTCAGATTACCATCTAAAACTACACAGAGCTTACCATAAAACTTACAAAAAATTAAAAATAAAAAAACTTTTAAAAACTGCATCCTAATCTCTAATGTGTCTCAAAAATGTGATCAGACACTAATGAATTTCAAAACGGTAACCAAATTAAATGATTACAGTATAAAAGACTGCTGTTGGCACTTAATTTTAATTGATAAAAAATAAGACTGTATCGTTATACTAATTATTATTTAGCAAACTACTCATCACAGATCAGAATAATGCTGCTAAAGTAGTGTACATTTTTGTTTATTCTATCATATAAATAAAAACAAACATAGGTTTAAAATTTTATAATAGGTTGTTAAATGGCTATAATCTTTAAAATATAATTTTATCGGCTAAAGTGTAGAATTGCCCACTTATCAATGTGTACATGAACAAAGGGAATGCCCAATGCCAAGTCTGTGCAATTCTCTGGAAACTAGGTCGATGTGTGCATGGATACTGAATTTGTGCAATTCTTTGACTTGTTATTTCAAGTTGATGCAGAATTGCCCACTTATATGGCACATATTGATGTGTACATGGACAAAGTCAAGGGAGTGTGAAATGCCAAGTTTGTGCAATTCTCTGATGTTTTTTTAAGTGAAAATAGGTCGATGTGTACATAGATACTGAGCTTGTGCAATTCTTTGACTTGTTATTTTCAAGTTGGTGATTTTGCAAAACTTGCGAAGCAGTGGATAATTCTGCACTTCCCCATTTCATCTTTTTGGTATGGATTTAACTATATTTTTTGCCATACTTTTTCCCTACAATGATCATGTACTGTTGTAATACATGTTGTTTTAATGATATATTTCTTTTTATCATTTTGTATTTTACTCCTTTTTAACTATATTAAGCAGAAATTAAATCATGATCGAGAGGCTGTCTTTGAAGTAAAATTAAACAGTAACCACAATTGCGCATTCATGGCATTATGCTTAAGGCCACTGTTTCAGTAGAATTTGGAATAATTTTACTGTTGATTTCAAAACATCAGTATGGGAGTACTGACATATTAACTATTAATAAATTCAAGATTACAATTTTTTAATATGGGTGTTCTTTCTGTTTACTACCTCATGCAACAGATAAAATATACTATTCAGTACATGTATAAGATAGTTAACACTAAGGCAAATTATATTTGATTAACCAAATTACATATTTTATCACTGAGCATTTATAAAAATAGCTTGAGTAATTTATTATTGAAAAGAATTTTTGAAAGTTTAAGAATGTGATGTAATAGATCTATAATATAAGATAGGCTTTTGTCTCTGCACACAATAGTCAATGTGTTTTCCCAACATCCCTTTAGTTATTAATTAGACTGATTTTTCTGACAATGAGCACACATTTATGCTCTAGTGTAGAATTGGATGCCCCTTCGATTGGTGACATTTTAAAAAAAATTTTGGTGATGAAACCTCACTTCTGGTTCCCACGATAGTTTTAACTTTGTTTTAGCTTCCCGATTTTATTTAAATGAAATAGATTGATGTGTACATGGACATATTTAAAGCAGTGCGCAATGCCTAGGTTGTGCAATTCTAGGATTTCTTTTTTAAGTAAAAACGGATCGATGTGTACACGGACACAGATCTTGTGCAATTCCTTGACTTCTTATTTTGATTTTGTGTAGCGGCCATCTTGAAAATTGTGCCTTCCTGGCATCGATCTTGGCATCAAAAAAGAATCGCCAATAAACACGGGGCAACCAATTGTAAACTTTTACCCACATTACCTTTACTTACACACACACACACATATATATTTTAATGTTTTAGATTCTAGAACACTCACACTATTGGACAATAAATAACAAGTAATTTGCTTCATCAGCACTTTGCTGATATAGATTCAAATTGATTCATTTAGATACTAAAACTACACTGATTTATTCACAAAATAATTTAATAATTAAGTTGTTTAGTTTTTTTCACCATAACTTAAATCATAATTTCTCTTAAACAGAAACAGCCTTAATAAATAATTTTAAAAATTTCAGAATATGCTTACATAAATCACATAAAAAACATTTATTCAAAACACCTAGATCTATTCAACTGCGTGCAATTAAAAGATTGTGCACACAGATAATAGAAAATGAAATTAACAAACAATCTAAAATAACAGCCCAAATTCCCTATTGACTGTGTACAAGTTTACGAAACAAATCATTATTTGCACATGGGTATTTTACTTGATCGAAGCTTGTTTTGTTAAAAAAAAGATGTTCAAGTATTAATTTATTCTTTTATGAGTTATTTTTGAATGAATGGAAAAACCATCATAGCTAAAAGAAATATCAACAGATCTTAGTTTGGTTAAATGACATCAAAACAATCAATACCTGACCTGACTTTTACATCACCTTAAAGGCAATTTCGAAATACACATGTTCCACCACATATTTTTGAAAGTACCACGTTGTTCGCTTCCCTTATTTGCTTCATTTTAATTTCAACAATTTTAACAGATTATTGCTTATATTGATGACAGTTCACATATTTTCATTAAAATTTATTTCCTTTTAGCATCTTACATTTTTCATTCCAACGTAAATACAAATTTTTCTATTTTTATTCAAAAGTACACATCGTTAACGGAAAAGCAACTACCAATACAATTAATTTCCCACAACCACAAGTAAATTAGCAAATGATTATAGAAAGCTAAAATTTGTCTAACATTCCTTTTTCCAGCAGTTTTGCTTTTTAAAGTGCACATGCCAGTAATGCTCAGACACTTAACGAAACATTTGAGAACATGTCCGGCATTAACGCTAGCAAATTTCAATATTTTTAAACCACCAGGTTCAATGAATATATACATAAATATATATAAACAAAAAATTAAATATAAGATTACGTATCCATATCTTTAAATTAAAGTTATACGCACAGAAACGTTACTAAGACTTCCGAGTGTAAATTACTATCAATCAACAATACTCCTCTCTCAGACATAACATTAAGTTTCCGCGTCATGGAAATGTTACTCTATGACTTACATTTGAATTAATTACATCACCAAAATTTGATGATACATAAAATGGATTCTGCTACATCAAAAACATGCTGATCTGCATTTAAATAAAATCCGCTTCCAAACATTAAAGCAAAAATATATGTATAAACATATTAACAATTTGTATTCACTATATTCAAAGGGCCCGTTTCGCAATAACATAAAGAGAACAAACTAGGCCATTCTAATACAAAATAAAGACGTATTTAATCTTAGGCCGACTTACAAGCGTGAAAGAAAACTTACTAAGAATTAAACATTAATTACAACATAAACATAATTTCTCTACTAAATGCACAACATCATCCACCATTGCTGCCCCGATTAATCATCATCACTATAATGAATGATATAAGTTGCGTTGAGTTGTCTCTTCTAATGTAAACTGATTCTCATGGGTGAGACTAAATTTCAACTTGGCAGGAAATTTTGATTGGT